TCGTGAAGCTCGCGAGCTAGGTCGACTCGGTGACTTGTTGAGCTAAACTCGTGAGCTGGCTCGTTTAGAGCTCATGATAAGTCTCAACATGTGGCTAGAGAGCCAACTCGATTACCGATTTATGGACGAATCAATCTATATCTTATGATTTTAATTCATATGGTTGTTAAATTATATATCTCACTATATATAAAATTTAACACGTTGAGTATATGAGACAATATCTCATTTTCTACTTTAAAAAGAAATTATGATCATAGATTGCTTCAATACTATGAATAACATGATTTGGAGTAGTTAAAATTTATTAACTAAATGATATATGATATCAACAAAGTATAATATGAGATTAGCTAACAAAATAAATTATATGTATCATGATATACAAAATGAAGTACCAAATAAAAGTCTAAATTTTAGTAAACAAGCTAGCTCGAGCTCGACTCTACTCAGCTCGTTAATAAGCGAGCTGCGCTCAAGATCGACTTGTTTATTAACGAGCTGAGCTCAAGATCGACTCGTTTATTGACGAGCCAAGCTCAACCTGGGGTAAAACTCGACTCGGCTCATTTGGAGCCCTACTTGTGGTCAATAACTATGCATAACCCAATCAGAATCCGCCACATCAGTGTCCCTTCTCTCTTCTGAAAAACCTATAATTTTCCTTCCTCAATCTTTAATGGACGATTTCTCACTCGTTTTAAGTCGAAATTAATTTTTTTGCACAGTTAGATCAGATTAATTGTACTATTCAAAATGATATCCGCTTTGATATATTTTTGGGGAAAAAATTGAGTCATTTTTTACCAGTCTATACTATATGGTATTGACTGGTATTGAAATAAGAGCATACCATGGTGGTATGAACATACCAAGACTGCAGGATGGTTGAATACATGATATTAGGGGCATAGTAATTGTCATTTACGACTTTCAACATTGTGTAGCACAAGATACCACCCCATCCCAGGGTGGTATTATGTGGTATTGTGTAGTATTTTTTGGTCCTGTATTTTGTTCACCCAGAAATTTGTAGATCTCATACATCATGATGAATTCGTTTCTTTTGTGCAAAAATTTTAAAAAATGACTTAAAAATGAAGAAAATACCATATGGTATGCAGTTGGTAACGAGAGGCAAGAAAATTTTTTCCTCCAAAAATATTGCAAATGGATCTCATTTTGTAGAGCACAACGAACTTGTTCCATCTGTTCAAAAAAAAATTGAAATCCGAGTTAAAACGAAGAAGATATGAGTCGGTTAAGAAAACAAGGGAAAATAAAAATGTCTTTAATCCTCCACCCTTATATCTGACTTTTCTGAATAAAGGGTTCAGATTTAGTTACTGAATACTGATAGGTGCATAACCATGGGTTATGCACCCTATATGAAGCCATATATCCATGAATTAGGAAAAGTCAACCGGAGTAATGTATATAATCAACTTGTAAAGATTTGTATTAACGAAAAATGATGTATTTGTAAAATTGCAAGTAATTGTAAATTTCATTCTCTCAAGTCTCAACTATATGAATAAAGCCTCGAAAATTGAATCCATCTCTCTCTAAATTCAAGTTTCCTCTCCCTTCTCTCTAGAACTCCAAAAGTCTCCTTTGGGGGGCTGCCGCCGGCATCCTTTGAGGACCGGCGGTGGCCCAATTTTTCATCTTTCTGCTTTCTTCCTCCTTTTCCTTTGCCCCGTCCTTTGCTTTTCCCTGTTTTCCATCTGATTTTGCGGCCCTTGTTGGCTTTTTCCCTGCCGTGATGGCGTTTCCTTGTTCCCTAAGTGGATCGATCCACAAACCTCTCTAGATGAGATGGTTCGTTCTTGTTCCGATCTGACGTATTCAGATCTCCGCCAGCTCTTCTGGGTCCGGATGATGCAACTTCGAAGATAATCCGCTTCCGTCAATGTTTTGGTGGCGTGGGTATTTCAAGTTGGTGCGTTTATCGTTTTAACGATGATTTCATTCTCTGCTTTCCTCTCGTCGTCCTCTGGGTTCGTCGGTGGTGGAAGGCGAAGTCTTGTCCGGCGGCTGCAGCGGCTCTCCTTTGTTCTTTTGAGGTAAGGGTTTCCTTTAGGGTTGAGGGTGGGCTGGTGTTGGTGTTTGTGGGCTGAGTTTTCAGACGTGTCTTGGGTTTTTGTGGGCTGAGTTTTGTCTTTCTTTTCATGTTGAGTTTCTTGGGTGGGCCTCTCTTTTGGTGGTGTTTTGCTTGGGGGTTCACGTGGGTTTGGTGGGTCTGTTGGGGTTTTTTTTTTTTTTTTTTTTTTTTTTTTTTTTGGCCTTTCCTCCTTCTCTTGGGTTTCCCTTTCCTCTTTGGACCAGGATGCTGTCTCCGGTTTTCCCTTGGTCTCTGTCAGCTCCGAGCAGTCCGGTTCATCCATGTCCACCGCCATGTAATTTCAGATTGAGATTCACTGTGATGAGTCATCCTCGAATGATTCCCAGGAGGCGGCTTGTGGTTTGATTTGCTCTTTACCATGGTCCTGTTTGCATCGGATGAGCTGACTCTGGCTTTGTTGCTTCCTCAATAGTGGTGGTTGCGTGAGGGTGTTTGGATGCATTTGTTTGTCTGTGACAGTGGCTCCCTCTCGCCGGGGTTTTCTTCTGCTTCTCTGCTCGTTCATGTTGTATTTTTCTGGTCGGAATGACCCTTTGGTTGATTGGGTGGTTTGCCCCTCTGTGTATCAAGTACCCTCTGTAATCACTTTGTTGAATGCAATATAAGCGGCAATCTTGTCAAAAAAAAAAAAGTCTCAACTATATTGGGTTTAGTTAATACTCTAACTCCAACTATCTCATTTGGCTAGATAGTATATCGAATCCGAGAATATTAGTATATCTAGATTTCTCAGTGAGTAAGATCTCAGTTGCAACTATATTAATTCGTCGATCTAAAGTGTACTTGTCCTAAATTTGGATAGTTAATATTGTTGACGAACAAAATTATAAATTATAAAGCTATTTCGACACATCAGTACACCTCAAATGCGTTCACACAATTTCTCAAGGAGAATGGCATACGAAGTCAATTGACCTGCCTAAATATTCAAGCGCAACTCACATCATTTAGGTCATATAGTTAGGCTGAGTTATTAAATACTTTGTAGTGAGTGGACTTGGATAATAGTAGATGTAGAGAACTAAAGGATTTGCACAATATTGAAAAGGAAAATCAATATGAAGGGAGGAGGAAAAGAGCTAAATCACATATAATTGCAATCATCAAACAATAAATCTTCTGATTTTATTTTTTCAAACTACAACTCGAAATGTTTTTTCAAGAAATAATCCCAATCATCCGTAGAAAAACGGAATGCGTTAGGGTGGTAACTGGATTTCTAGTAGCCACCGTGGCTACATCATTATCCACCATTTATTTTCTTCTCTTTCTTCTTTTTTTAATCTTATCGTTAAGATTGCCTCAGGATCATTTTGGAAGGGAAAAAAAGACCAAACTTGATTTTTCTATATATTCTACTCTAACCCTACTTCTACAACCAAACTCGTTGTAGCCGCAAGGTCTCACCCTCCCCGACAATGGCTTAGGGTTTGCGAGAGGCTGAGGGCCACCGCCCTCTCTTGCCTCCCTGTCCGCCAGCTTCTTCCTCGACGGCGACCTGGGTTTAGAGAGGAGATCGCCGCCTTCCTTCGCCGCCAGCTCCGCTTCTTCATCCTTTGTTGCGTGCTTGTCCGACGACTCCTTTCGCGCCTCTTTCTCTAGCCACGGGCGAGCCACCAGTCGGATGGGTGGTGATCCCAGCACTGTCACGCTCACCCTCGTCTCCGGCAATGAAAATCGGCGGCTCGGTGTCGCCTCTTCCCTCAACTCGACGTCGCGCCAGGCCTCCCCGCTGATTGTCGTCATCTCCTCTGCGCTCGTCGGTTCCTCTTGCAGCATAGTTAATAGCGCAACCTCCACCGTCTGTTCCATCATCGTCGCCGCCCCGACAGGACTCGTCGTCCCTTGTTCGCCTAGGGCTGCCGTGCAGAGTTCCAGCATCTTTAAGGATTGGTATGTTTTTTTTAAATGGTAGTGATTTTTTCTGTAGTGGTAGTGTTTTTTGTCGTATTGGTATTGTTTATGTCGCATTGGTATTGATTTTGTCGCATTGGTATTGATTTTGTTACATTGGTAGTGATTAAATTTGCAATGGTATTGGTGTTTTGTGAAATGATAGTGTTTTTATTTCTCGAATGGTATTGATGTTTTGTACAATGGTAGTATTTTTTTAATGGATTGGTATTGATTTATTGTTTTGTTGTTGCAACGGTATTAGTTTGGCTGAACGAAATCAAGGAAAGATTGAGAAAAAGAAGGAAGAGAGATCTGACTGAAAAATTGTGGAAGTGAGAGAAAGAGAGAAATTGTATTTAATATATTTATGTAATCTCCTAAAATGTAATTTATTAAAAAAGATCATTAAATAAATTTTTTGTTATACCCAGTTTGCCCTTAGTAATCACGGTGATCACTAGAAAATAGTAATCACCGTAACCTGCCCAGTAAAACCTCTCATTTCATGGCCATAAATAACAAATTAACAATACACTAAGAAATTTAGCATCCGTTTCTCTTTTCCAACACATTAATTCTACCTGTTAAGGGAAGCAGTATTACTGTAGTTCTACATTGGCAGGCCGCCAATGCACAGTTTCTAACCAAAATTATCGTATCTGCCAAAGGAGATTTGCCCCGCAATGTCCGCACTATAGCTTGCAGCTTCGATAGCAAAGCAACGGAATAGAATATCCCATTCCGCAGTTTGCACCATTAGCTTCTCGTATTAGTTCCAAGGTGAATAGCATTTGTCAACAATGCATAAGCTGGGACATCGAGACTAAATTTTGAGATCCATCAACCACTATATCTAAAATATTACTCTTTACTCATTGCCTTTTCAGCATACAAAACTAGTCACTGGATCAAGGCTTTGTTCGCTACTATGCGTCCGTCACCTTCCAAACCCCATCATCAAGGTCGCTTCCGTGCAACCATGACTAATCCGACTCCGTCTCAGTCTTCGTGGCGATCGAAACATGACATCTTCATAAGCTTCCGCGGTGTGGATGTGCGCAACACATTTGTAGACCATATGTGCGCCACACTCCGCAGAAAACGAATCAAGTCGTTTAGGGACAGCGACGTGGAAGACCTGGGCCGAGGTGAAAACGTGGAGGAAGGCATACTACGAGCCACCGGGGGCTCGAGCTCCTACGTCGTCGCTTTGACAAGGAACTGTGGATCATCCGTTTGGTGTTCGGACGAACTGGTCAAGAAGATGCATTGTGGAAGGAGGAAAACTGCAACTTAGTAGTTAAGATCTGCTGTATCCGTAACTATTGCCCCAACCAAGAGATGTGCTGTATCTTACCATTTTGTGCATCCCAGATTCAGTTCAGGGTTTAATTTACAACAGTTTGTGAATATTACACCTCACCCCGCCAACCAAAAACCCCCCATTTCATCTCAAAAGTTATGTAACGAGTTACGAATTATTATGTTTCTTATTGTTGGATTTTTGGGTGTGGATTATTTTCTAGAGCAAATTCTGTTTCACTAATTTAATCGGATAACCAACCAATGAACGACTCATCTGACTGTCTAGCTACAGCTTCGAGGTCGGAGTCTGATGGTCGGAAGCAGAAAGCTCGTCGTACATGTCAGTTATGGCTTTGGCAAAACAGTCCTTCGCCTGAGGCCTCTTAATCTGCCCAACGAAGCAAAAAAGAAATCAGCAACGAGATAGCCACGCACGGAAAAGATCGTTTCGAGCAACTCTGCTATATACCTTGAAGGTTGGAGTTAGTAGCCCGTTCTCCAGGGTAAACGGCTCAGGAACAAGAGTTATAGCCTTGGCAAACTCGAAACCTCTCAACTGCAGGATGTCGCAGCGTAAGAAACGAATGATTATGAGCTCCAACTTGTAAGGAAAGATGGTATGATATTGAAAAGCATAAAATTTTCACCTGTGCTTCCTTTCCTATTGAATCCATGTCAGCGAGGACTGCGGCTCTAGCTCTTGGATCATTGCATAGTTGGCCTAAATCATCAGCCTGCATTGTGAGGACAAGGATAAGGATGATCGGCTAGAGAGAGAGAGAGAGAGAGTTTGGAACAAGATAGTTGAGAAGCAAACCTTGATCCCTTGGGAAGTTGCCCATTCTGTCAACACATCTGGGTCTACCGATACTATGGCGACTAAGGATGAGTTGAAGCTATCACCTGTCCATGTATCAAGCAAAAAATCAGACATAAGAGAAGATGGTGAACACAGAGAAGCATGTTAAGTGTGTGGTATATCACAGCTGTCTTTTTTACCATAGATGAAACACTGGCCAACGAATCTGCTTTTGGTGTAAACATTCTCGATCTTCTCTGGAGCTATGTATTCGCCCTGTGCGAGCTTGAAGATGTTCTTTTTCCTGAAAAAGAAACAAAATAGACGATGAAGTTACATAGACCAGGCTAAATAAACTAAAATTGTTTCCTGATAGTGGAAGATAAATAACCAACCTATCAATAATCTTGAGGCGGCCTCCGTCTAGCCATAGTCCAATATCTCCTGTATGTAACCATCCATCCTCGTCTATTACTTCTCTTCTGTGAAATTAAGGACACGTTAGATAGCTAAGGCATAGGGTGGGAATGATTTACTGAGATGGTGTGAAAGATATATATATGAAGATTGAGTACGTCTGGGTTTGATCTTTGTAGTAGCCCTGGAAGATGGTTGGACCCCTAGCACATATTTCGCCGCGAGGATAAGGCTGGTCTTGTGAGGTGTAATTCATTTCAGGAACATCCACCAGTTTTACTTCTGAAAGATGAGAAAGCAACATGCAAAAGGAATCATAAGTAACAGGAAAAACCAGGGCCGGAAGCCGAAACTAACACAAAATTCTAATGACTGTTACCTACTTATGTTATGCATCTGACTTGTGACTATGACGTTGCTAACTCTAGGTCATCAAAACTGATTCTAGATCAGTCTGAACCACTCTTTATATCGTCTTTTCTATATTTCAAATATACCCATTTCTTTCTTACACTTTCATCTACCCTAAAACTGGCAACAAAGTATGGTATCACGTAACCATTTCACAATTACTCACTTATTGACCGAACGAAAAAGTCAATTCACTTATTTTAATAACTTTTTCAAACATTCCAATTGCCCTATTTGCTCATGCTCCCAACTTCTCCGATAGGATTTTTATTGATTGGATCAATGGGCTCCATCAGTAAGTTCCATATATCCAGTGTTTTCCAAATAAAGAATGACGCAAAATAAACCAGGACAGTCTCATCATGGGAGCTTTCAGCATTTCAAATTCGAAGAATGAGACTAATTAGGCAGTTCGCAAACACCCACAAGCAGAAAGGGACACAAAATTGATTGACAAAACAAAAGCTCACTAACCACAAGCAGGATTTGGAGATCCAACGTGACCAGATAGATAGTCACCCTCATCCATAATGCTTATGATACAAGACGTCTCAGTCATTCCATATCCCTCAAGCACTTGACATCCAAAGCACCTGTAAACCATAGGATATGTAATACACTCTAATGTGAGCAGAAGAACTAATTCCCGAATAGACAGAGTGATAAAAAGTGTTCTTCAGAACAAACGAACAAAGACTTACACCCTCAGGAAGTCCATAACATCAGGAGACAGGGGTGAAGCGCCTGATCCCATAAGCCGAACCCGCCCTCCTAGCTTAGCCTTTATTTTATTGAAAACCAATCTATCCCACATTGGCGATGGAGTCCGACCTGGAGTAATCATATAATAGGATAACATATTAACAAATAACCACACTTCCAAAACTTGTAGAATCCCCAAGCAACAAGAAAATAAACTAAAATAAAAATTGGCTATCTTAAGATAACCCTTCATATTCATGAACCACTCAGGAATAGCTAATATACAAACCACTCATTAATGCTTGCTTCTTTGAGTTGAAGGCAGCATTAAAAAGTTTCTCCTTTAACGCTCCAGAAGTCTTCACAGCAGCTGTGATCCTGTAACAATCAATGTGATAAGAAAATCCAGGAAAAACTCCAATCAAATGAGATTGAAAGCTTGGTCACAATCTTACCCATCATATATCCGGTTATACAACCGAGGGACACTGCAGAATATTGTAGGTCTTAAAGCAGCCAAATCATCCATCAACTTCAAACTGTCCTGAAACAGTAGGGAAGCCATAACAAAGCAGTACATTTATTGACAGAGCTCAAATAAACTTGGACTGATATGAACTGTTTTACTGGGCTGTGTTCATTAAGTAATCTTTTATTTTATGTATCCAATAAAACAACTATTTGCTGGAGACAACTGGGTCTGGGAATTAAGGTCTGCCTAGACTCTAAGGCCTGTGAACTGGATCTGCATCGTGTGGTTCACACTACTTCAAGGAAACAATGGTTGGGACAGGATTCTGAAAAACTGATTCCACGTCCAGTCCTCCACTGTAGCTCACATATTTAAGACAGAAATACTGGTAATTATTCCAGAGTGAATTGAATCACTAACCCCCTGATAGAAGCCAACAGCAACACCATAGTACACGGCTGATATTTGGTTGGTTCGTTCATAGATGTGTGCCAAAGGAAGGTAAGATATGTAACTGCAAGGATATTTGCATCATTTAGTAGCAGATGATTCAGAAAAGCTCTGTACAAGATAACATATAGACATGAAGCGACAAAAATGAAGTCAGCAACTCACATATCTGAAGATGTGAATTTGATAGACAAACTGGAACCAGCAACACTTGCGATCAAGTTTCCATGTGTCAAGACAACTCCCTTTAGCAAGAAATAAAGTTAACTTTGTAAGTAGAGATGACTGGTAACTTGAGGAAAACCGCCATAACAAGCACATGTAATTACCTTCGGCGTCCCAGTTGTACCGCTGGTGTAACATATGGTTGCGACATCTTCAGGTCTAGGAGGAATAAAAGGTTGTAGGCTGCTGCGGCCCTAGAAACACAAAATGCATGGTGATCAGCCAATGTGGCTGCTCCTTTCATAATCTAGGCAGGAAATGTTTCCAAAACATCCAGCTAAATAAGCAATACACAAATATCTTTTATGTTTTGCATCATTCATGGAATCTCCATTTCACCAAATATGCAAAATACCACAGGACAAAATAAGTATCATTAGGACTCTAGAAGCTATTGCAAGCCATCAATCTCTCAGACCTCGGAAAATATAGAAACATCATTAGAAGAAAGATTACCTCACCAATCAATTTCAGATAAGATATGAGCTTGACTCCAGAAGAAGGCAGTGATGGTAAGTTCTCATCTACACCCCCAACTACCTATCATGAAGAAAAATGTCAATAGTGACAAGGGATCAACAGAATGAACACAGATGATATCAAAACACATTAATTGAAGATATCCCATAAATACATACCACTATGAGCCTCACTGATGGAATCTCTGAGACAAATGTCAACAGCTGCAAGAATCAGGGGAGACAATAAGACAGTTAAACAATCCAGTACAAACATTACTTACGAAAAGCTTAAAAGAAGGCAAAAGGTAGCTCACAGTGTTCAAGGTCGCAGGGTTGCAAAAGATGGCTTGCACATCAGCATGATTCACCACAAACTTAACTGCATCTGGACCTGCATGCAGAATTTGCTGCTGTAATTACAGAGTAGACCAAATGTAGCAAGTTGGGTTCATTGTCTAAGGTCACTCACATACCAAGAGTATCATATAAGGGAACCGAGATGTATGAATATGCTGCACAAGCATGATCCACGATCAGCCATTCTGGTCTGTTTACGAAATAAGTTCCAATACAAGCTCCCTGTTCCACATTGATGAGTCAATATCTAACGATTCGCTGATAGAAAAACTTGAATTAAATTCTCACCCAACCAGAGCTAAGAGGAAACACACAAAGCAAAGCATAAGAACAGAGAGTATGACAGTCCATAATCCAGCTCATAACTGACCTTATCCAAGCCATTATAACGAAGGCCAGAACCTATCGCTTCCCTGGCAGTAGCAGCTTCTCCATAAGTCATCCACATGTAGCTATCATTTCAAGGAACAAATCATATCATGCCTCTCATCGGAATGATTTCCAAGTACATATTAGTCAAAGAAAAAAAAAGGAAATTTCTACTAACAAGATAGACAAACTTATTGTACGAAAGACCTACTCTCCAATTTTTCCATCCTGCCGAATTCGCGTCCCCAAATACTTGTAATCTCGATAATTCTCAACAGCATGTCTGAAGCATAACACAAAAAGAAATTATCATTCACAGCTCAACAGTATCGATTTTCGAATTCTCAAACTCATAGCAACTCATCTTATATAATAAGTCAACTAGCCAGTAACTTAGAAATTGGAGAGACTCACTGAAAGTTATCGTGCAATGTCCCAATCTCTGGATGATCAGGAAACCTGCTCATAAGCTTCAATGGAGACCGCACAGATCTAGGACAACGGAATAACAAAAATCAAATAATCGCACAATTCAGAGCAAACTAAAGTAGTAGCTACAAAATTTCGCACACGAGTTCTACGCTTTGCCAATTACCTGTAAACATTCCACTTCCCAGTCTGCAATTTCTCCGGCAGACTTACGCTGTACGTATGACCTGCTCGACAAAAATTCAACCACCGCGGCCAAACAAAAAGGGAAAAAACAATTACGCGATTGCAGGGGGGAAAAAACTCCGCGGAAGCAGAGGAAGCAGAAAAAACAGACATCGGAAAAACTGCTATCAATTACTACTCTTAACAGCTTCTCAACATTCAAGCAAAAAAACGAAGTAGCGAACAATTTCCGGCCAGGACTTAACTGTTCACGAACTGCAACGAGGCGGTGAAGTTAGGTTCCAAACGAAGCGACCGATCGTCTCCGCCGTGGAGCAAGTGGCTCTGAACGGTCTTGAGGCGGCGTTGAGCTGAGGACTCTTCCATGGAAGTATACTATCTTTGTTTGTTTTCTTCTTTGTTTCTGCTTGGGAACGGACTGCGGAGGAACGGGAGGGAGGGAAGTCAAAAATGGATTAGTTTGGCAGTTGGTGTCTTGGTGGTGGGTTTGTAGTATTATTTTGAATATAATTGAGGGAGTGGGATCTGGGAAGACTGAAGAGGAAAATAAAATTATTTAAAAAAAAGGGTGGAAAATGAATGAGAGTTAGATGAGATGTGAAGAGGCACGCTTTCCCGTGTGCATGATTTGCCGCGAATATGACGTGGGTTGTTTTAAAGATAAGGGTCAAATTTCCCCGGAACCGGATACCGGCTTCGGCTTGGGCCTGCGCACCATGGTTTAAGAAACTCCATCGTATCGGTCAGTTCGACTAAAAATACCGAATATCGAAACTAAATAGTAGGCGGATTTAGTGTACAAAATGGTTGAATCATAAATTTATTATGATTTAGTATAAATATTCTACCATCAACTTTTTCAGTATAACTTTCTATACGGTTTCACGAACATTCGTTGAGCACTAGCGCATCCATTAATAAAGGTCAAATTGGGACAAAAAAAAAATAGAGTTAGGGAAGTTTAAGAAAATATACAGGGATGAGATTACTTGTGTTTAGAGAATTGATAAGAAAATTCTAATCGATTACGATAAATTGGATCGGATTTTGCAGTTTTTTCTTCTGTAGCACCTCGAAGTCATATGCACGTAAGTTCAAGGCCAAACCGACTCTTGGGGAAGATCAGCTTGTTATCCCTAGAGTAACTTTTATCCGTTGAGCGACGACCCTTCCACTCGACACCGTCGGATCATTAAGGTTCAGCCCTTGTTTTCGCGAAGGTGACTAGAAAGGATTGAATGTACCTTATATGTTTTATAATAGTATTTTGTATTTGTGTTGGTATTTATATTAACGATAGTTTGGTTGAAATTGTTCCAATATTGTATTGTCAAAAATCGTAAACGAATTTTCCCACTCATTCTTAGATCTCTAATTCTTTGGTTGCCCTATTTCTTTTATCTCAGTCTTTTGTGTTTTATGGCTTGCTTAATCTGAGTTGAATGGTTATCTTATATCTATGGGTAGTTGCTTATCTATTTTAATCATTAACCTGTTTTGTTTCTTGTTTAAGTTAGTGCCCTGTTTGTATTCGCATCTCTGCTGCTAATAACCTTGGAGACTCTCTCGCGTCTACACCATCACTTCATCATTATTATTTTGCAACATGACGGGACTCTTCCTCAATGGTATGAAAAATGTGGCAAGGAGGCGTGGGTTTTCAACAAATTAATAATGATCCATCTCTCTTTGTTCATCGAAATTAATGGAATTCTAACGACATGATGATTAGTGGGAGTGACGGTGATGAGAGTCAAGAACTCATCAAATCTTTACATTCTGCTTTCAATCTGAAAGAGCTTGGAGGCACTTCATAGTTCTTGGATCTCAAAATTTAGCATTTTACCACAAGATTGTTTGTGAGCCAAAAGAAATATATAGCCGATCTGTTGAGACTACTTAGTTCGAGAATAGTAAATCTTGTTCGACTTCAATGGTGCAAAACTTGAAGTAGTGTAGAGATGAAGGTAAGCTTCTAGAGGATCATACCTTGTATCATAGTGTGGTAGGAAGTTTGATTTATCTTACTCACACGAGGTGATATCAAAATCCAGCCCAATCCATGCACGGGTTAATGATGTTAGAGAGTGTAAGCATAACCTTCTCCCAACAACTCGAGTTATTGAGACTAACTAGTTTATGACATGGTATCAGAGCTGGTTTGGCCAAGTGATCGTGTGTTCGAATCTCCATGACCCCAATATTAATAGTTAATTAAAGCACAAGGTATGTTGATCGCTTGTGCAAACTTCAAGCCCATGGGTTGACTTTCGTTTGAGTGGGCGTGTTAGAGAGTGTTATAAGATCTAGCATAACATTTTCCCAACAATTCGAGTTATTGGGACCAACTTACTGTTTTATGACAAATGACACTCAATTTATATTGTTTATCACTCCCATATTTGATACATTTTTCCTACTATCAATGCATCTTTAGTGATTTTGACTATATTTAATATTAAATTCATAACTATATGAATAATGAGCCTAAGATAAACCTTTATTGTATTTTTGTACTATTTGATACCTTCTAGGTGTTGGTTTGTACTTTGTAAGATCAGAAACCACTCAAGACAAATATGGATATGAAGGGGCCTAATGGATCGGAAGGAGGACAAGAATATGAGTTCATGGTCTCAAACGGAGATGGATTTGAACACCGGATGCTCCTTTATCGCCCAGAGAAGCAGATTCGGCAATAGAGCAGACTTACCTTTAACAAATGTAAAAGTGGGTTAAACGAAGTTCAAATGAGTTGAAATTTAGAGTGAAGCCCTAAAAATGAATGAGGAATACGTCCACCAAAATCCATCCCAAATGAAGCATGGGAAGTCCCATAAATTGTCAAAAAGTTGGTGATATCATGCTCCAAACACGACCTAAATCGATGGGAAGTAGGGCTGAAAAATGGTCAGTTTGGTCTAGACCAAACCATATATTCGATCTACGGTCCAGACTGATAGACTGGAGTATAGACCAAAGACCCGATTACATACTATACGGTCCATACCACGCATGTGTGGTCTGGTACGGTACAGTCTGGTCCAAATAGACCACAATGAACGAAAAATGAAAATTTTATTTAGTCAACCACATGAAAAATTGAACAAATAACAGAGGAAAGTTGTTGTTTGTCTCAAAACATAAATTCCAACATGTATGAACAAATTTAACACCATGAATCTTAGTAAACAACAAAAATACAAAGTCAAAGCATCCCAACCTACACCATAACGTGATAAACATTAACATAATGTCATATAGAGACACAATAGTCTCTACTCATTGGTGAAATGTGGTTGTGAATGAAGGTAGTGAAGACATTCTCAAGATTAGGAAGACTTCGATGTTGTTGGGGGAATTGAGTGAGTGGTCGAGTGGGTTGCTAATACGTATTAGGAAGTAGACCGGGTCCATGGTTTAGTCTGGTAAAAAGCGGTCTAAGCCAAATCGAACCAAGAGATCAAAACATCATATAATACAACCATTTCCCACCGACTTTCAGCACAATCCAAGTTCAAGAAGGACAAATTTTGGCCAAAAGCTTCCTAACTTGGTGACCTTGAAGAAGGAGGAGCTATGCCTAGATAAAAAGCATAAAAGAAGAGCGCTTCATAGGAGGCAATCCATGCCTGGCATTTAATTTAAGGATGTAAAATAAAAGTGCTACCAAGGAGACAAACCGAATTTTTTTAATCCTTTTATTTTTTATTTCGTGTTGAGGAGGAGAAGCATTTGTTTTCCCTCTATTTTGTTGCTTTGATATTTTTTCTTTTGAAATACATATGACAAGAAATTGTAGAAATGGAGCAAGTAGATCCAATGGTGCCAAATTTGACAAGTCTCTCAATAACATGGAGAACAAACTTAGAAATGAAGAAGGAAGACCAGAGGTGGTTCCCCCTGTTGTAGCACCGCCGCTAGGAAACACTATTCAACCGATGCTAAGTTTTCTACTCCAACACAAAGAAGGATTCAAGACAGTCTGTCTCCAACAAGAAGAAGGATGACAGTCTCAACCGCCACCGTACCATCACTGCCAACCACCGCCTTGATTCCTTTTCCTACCTCGCATAAGGAATAGAAATAAACCGAAAATGAGAAGGAGAATGGTGGTGGTGAACACTGATGCCCACTTGCTGCTCGCCTATAAAAGAGAGGGAAGCCCCTATTCTTTTTCCTCGCATCAAATTACAAAGATCAAGAGCATTCAGTGCCAAAAATTGATGAAGCAACTCGTGGGAGCTCAATTCCAAGGAGATTTTTCAAGGGAGGAAGAGGTGTGTTAAGATCCATCTTTGTAAAATGGCGGGCAAAAGAGAAGGAGCATCAAAGCTAGAAAGCAAGATGGAGCAAGCCATCCTAGGATATATGGAGATGTGGAAAATGTCAATGGAGCCTCCTCAAGCCTGCACAGTAGAGGCATCTCAAGCCAAGAAGGAGAACAAAATTGACGCATGACCTCGACAAAAGAGATGACCATCCATGAAGAGGCCTCTCAACATAACTCAACGGTGAAGGAATTTATGCAACCTTTAGGAGGAGAAGAGAGTGTCATGCCACTTATGGAGAGAATTGTTGTTATGAAGATCCCAAGGGAGAAGCTCGACAACTACTGTAGAAGAAGAAGATTGGATGACCAGCATCAACTCAACTCCTTATGAACACAAAGAAGTCATTCAAGTATATGAAGAGAAAGAGAATCCTGGTCATTACAAGATCAATTGTCTCTTAGATGACCATTATGTAGAGAAAGGTTTGGTGGATCTTGGTTCTAGCATCAACATCCTACCACTTACTTTCTATCTAGATATGGGTCTAGCTGACACATAGGAGATAGATATGGATATCATGATGGAGGATAACACCCCATGTCAACATTAGTATAATTAATTGGCGAGTTAGCTTAAGGGGTCTAGTGAGCTACGGGCAGGTACACCGTAAGCCCCTGCACACTCTCTTTTTTCGGCGCGAGACCCCCTCCTGCTTCTCCCGTATGTTCCCTGCATCGAATGACTGGCGATTACCCAAGTTTTAAGCCTCTTGTCGACCATCAATATTGATCGTCGATTCAGGGGAATTTTTTTTCGAACCTGTATTTTTTTACTCCTACCTTCCCTAGCCCGGAGATTTCCCAGGTCGACGGATTGGCCTAGCGGCCGCCATCAATTCTACTCTTCTTTACCTCCAGGCGAACCCCCTGGTAGGTGATGGATCGTGTTTTCCCCTCTCCCAGACGAGCTCTAATGGATTTGGAAGGGGGATGCAGGGGATCTCACTATGTGAACTGTTCGGCGGCTAGGCAAGTCGTCGATGATAGGATCACCGCTGATAATCATCCTATTTCCCCACTCTGGTGCATGGACTATATATAGCAGCGCAGCCGCAATACTCTTGGCAATCATCCTATAGAAGAGGAAGGGGAGAGAAGGGCAATTCAAAGACCGCCTGGACGTCATCGATTTCAATCGATTCCTCATCCCGACGAATCCTTCGTGAACACCATCGTTTGTACGCCTCCAGCGGATTGC